TATTAGTGACTCCGAATGCCTTATCGATGGCCCTTTGAGTTATGTTAAATTCCTCCCAAATTTTTACTAATGACCCTCAAATGCTAATTAGATCATGTGCAGAAGATAAATGTGTATTGTGCTTCCATAAGTGGGTTTGGCTAAAAACACAACAAGTTTTAAAAAGAACAATCCAATGTTGGTTTGGGTGAGATCAACACGGGATGACAATGGGGCGGGTTTTCCTAAACTAACCACATCCCCATTTCTAAATAGGTAAACCTATATCCGCCTCATATCCATGCAGGTGAGGATTCACAACCCCATCCCCATACCGCGGTTGTCTAGTACCCGTGGTAATACCCTCCCGTATATCCTATATAACTATTCCTAAAATTCAACATGGAGACCTTAAGTTATAATACTAAACAGACCTAATAAGTTATGAAATCAACAAAACTACAATAATTCTTAATACAAATTCAAATTATCCACTCCTAAAATACATATTAATCCATAAAAGATAGTACAATGATGTCCAAACCATTCATCTCCGTCTACATATCTACTAAGCAATAAAATAACTGATACAATCTTGTTAACAATGAAGAAGTAAAAAAGCGAATGTAGTAAACAAATTAGTGTTTGGTTTGAATGACCACTCAATTACATTTTAATTTTTTTAAATTGCCATTTTCTTATTGAGAGATCAAAATATGGTCTCTATATTTTTATATACGAAGAAATAAACTTGGTAAGGGGGTATGTGTATGGTGGTCGGTAGGCTAAAACCATACACGCCCCATCCGCATCAATTTTTTTGCGGATTTTACCCATATTCGTCCCATACTCGATGTATGTGAGGATCTCCCGTGTTGTCTACAAATTAATATAAGGCAATATGAAGGAAAGATTTCTGCCACATCAGCCACAGGTCTCCAATCCGCACAAATAGGATGGACATTTATGTATTTGTGCTTGGAGTAAAAAAAAAAAAAAGGATTCTCTTCCTAAAAGAATGGGAGAGGGATACCCAAACAAATTCTGTTAATAATGTAGGAGAGAGATTACAGGGAGTGATAAAATTTCATTGCTTTAATTATGGGGAGGATAATAAAAGAAAAGAAAATACTAGGAAAATGAAATATTAACGGAAAATAGAATGAATTTAAATAAATATATATAAACTACTCCACGATGATGCAAAATAGTGAAATACATAAATCTAAACATGAATAATCTGCGCCTTTTAAAAAAAAAATATTGGTATATTTTTTTATTTAGAATTTATTAATTCTACTGTCCTTCTATCGACAGTTCGACTATCTGTCGATTGCCATATTTGGTTGTCTGATCTTCTGTAATTATCTATTTGGAACTACTATTTATAACAAAAAAATTTATCGGGTTGAATTTTCTACATGTAAAAAGTGAAAAATAAATTGGCATGCTATCTCGCCCTATCACTAACTAGCGTGGGCCCCGACCATTTGGCCGGAGGAAGGTGAGGTATGAAATTTAATAATGTAATGGGGGTATATAGCTTATTGTTGTATAATGTTTTTTGGGAAACACGTGATAAAAATAGTCAATTTTAGTAGGAAAGAGACATGAATGATGCTACGAATAAAAAATCAGCCTTATGAACCAAAATCAAGTACCTGTTACCTTGTAAAGCAATATTGTTTCTGGTAATATGATGAGGTGGAGTAAGTTTTATAGAAACCGAATTCTAGAAAATCGAATAAAAAATCGCCTATCCCGCCGATTTCGGGAAATGAGCATCTCACAATCGTTGCTAGCTTTTACTCGGTCCGTTGGCCGATTAATTTGCTTTATAACACTTTCATCTTGTCCTCATTGTGCTTCTGGTTTTTTGCCAAGCCATAATAAAATCTAAAGAAATCAAGAATGAACAACACGATTTGGGATAGGAACCACCATTCATGTATCCCTAGAAAATGGTGGTAAACACGGACTCACCTGCCAAACTGGTTTGGATTTAGATTTTTATCGGGTATCAGGGAACCATGTGATTATAATTAGACTTGATCAAAACGGGCCAATACTTGAAATTCGGCCTGTTTGACCGACCCATGCCAAACTCTAATTATTCTTTACTTTTAAACTTTCTATTTGAAAATAAAAAAAATAATGAAAGAAAAGAGATGACTTCAATTCGCCATTTGCACATCACTGATTCGGGAATAAAACTATAGAATTTCGAAAGGAAACTGAAAATATTTAGGATCGTTTTAATGTTAAAAATAACCAAATAGATCTTTCTGTTTTGTTTTTTTTACTAACAAATACCAAACGATTCCCAATAATATACACTATAATTTAATCATTATGATATCAAATAATTACATAATATATATTTGAAATGATAAAAATTGGACTAATTGGGTTGGTCGAGGTTGAACCATTGAATAACTTTAAAATACATTATATTTTAGCCACTAAGATATAAAATAATAGCATAATATATATTATGCTAGAGAAAATAGTTTGTTTTAGAATGGCAAACCCATGATGTTCATTTGTTTACTTTATGGGCAAATCCCGTGTAGGTCAGGCCCATTCAACTCTTTTATTTTATGATTAGCGGTTAGCCTAATAGAATCCATGCATTAATTTATTGTTATTTTTTTTTCTTTTTAGCAATAAAAAGGAGTATTGTTTTTGCCTTTTCATATATATTTTACCACCACGGAGAAATAAAAGGACTTAAGAAAAAAATTGACACTCCTGGACCCGTTTAAATCCTCATGTGTGCGGTAAGTTGGCCCGTTCCACAGAGGAAAAATAAAAAAATTGACACTCCCTATTCTACCCTTCCTACAAACGCTCCTGGAGCAGGAAATTTGAAATGGGGAAGGGTTTTTTCCTCTCTGCGATCATATGTTTTTAATTTAAAAAGATACAACAAATGTACTTAGTGTGATTGGTTATGATCTTTGCTTTTCTTTAAAGTGGTCATGGTTTGAATCCTAGTAAGTGTCTTTTTAATGAATAAAGAAAAGTAATTGTGAAGACCAAAATGTCCTTCATACTTTCACTCTGGATGCAGGAAATTTGAAATGGGGCTTCAAGTTCTCATTTAACTTTTATTTATTGTGTAGATTTCTCTTCCATCTCTATTTCATTTCGTAGCAAATTTTTTGTCCACATCTCCTTATGTGACGGTTGAATTACCCCAGTCAGTCCTATAACTTACTCCCTCATTCGCGCTTTTCCTTCTTTGTTCAAATTCTTTTCCTTCTGAATGACCAATTATTGACAGATTGTAATACCTTTTCACTTTTGTAAGTAAAATGATTTCATATAAATTAAAAAAGAAGAGTATAAAATCATGCTTAGCTAATTTGAGTGCTTTAGAGAAAAAGTTCTATTCCAATTTAGGGCTTTATATAGAATATAAAAAATTTCAACCCAAAATTCAAAATTGCAATAAGAAAATCAAAGTAATGAATAAAACACTGATATTGTTAGTTTGTTGAAAGACAACATTAACATATATGTATATGATACAAAAGGAATGCTGGCCAAGGGGTCGGGCACCAACTAGTTTTTATTAGAGGTGGTCGGATACCCACAAGGGCACAATGATGAATTTGATTGCCATCCCTAATAGCCAGCGACGAAATCAGTGACAGACCACACTGGGCCCGAGCCTAGCCCTCCCATGGAATAAACAACATGGGCTACTAATTTCATATGGACCCATTACATTTTCTTTTCTTTCTAGTACCGGGTATCAATCCAAATCTAACAAGGAATTTGTATGAGTTTTCTCCAAACCCAACAAAAAGGTAATAAGTGTGGTGCAGTTATGATCATTTAAATATTCATATTGAATTCACCTCATGGTTAGATTTTTTTTCTCAAAATGTCAGGGTCATGGTTCAAGAGGTCACAAAGATCATAGTTATTAACTAAATTCACAATCTATCCAAATTTGAATAAAACCTTGTTTCAACAACATTTTTTTGGATAGTAAAACGCCTTAAAAAAACGACATCGCTTGAAACATAAGCATTTTAAATAAAACTCTGTATATTCAAACTTGTACTCCCCAACTAATCGTATTTAACAGTAGGTTACCAATGAATGCATGAACCATGGCCAGTGTTTAGCTTTCCAAATAGGAAGTCTGTGGTCTGTACAACTTATGTAAAGTTGTAGATTAGTGGTAAAAGATTTTGACAAATGTCTATTTTTTACCCAAATCTTTCCAAAATTCTTTTATTTTAATCAAACCTATAGAAATTCTATTTATTATCCAAACGTATTGTATATGTTCATAGTCTGGGCATTCGTTCTGTTACCATTAATTTTTTTACTAACGGATCTCCATATCAGCGTCCACGTTAGAGTCCATATCGGAAATTAATAAAATAAAAGATCATTAAATAAATAGGCCCTTGTCTTCCCATTGTACTCCACCGTTCCCCCTGCAACTCCACTCAATTTCCAGGCCTGTGAGCTTTGGATTGCAGATCGAGTTGCCATTCTCCATTAATCAAAAATCGCCGCATCTTCCTCCGTCGCCGCCGATTGAATCACCGCACAGAAAGATAATCGAGTCTCTGCCTCCATCGTCGACATTCGAAGGCTCATCGGGCAGAGGTAGAATCTCGCAAATCCCGCCTTCACAATTCTTTCTTCCTCTAGTGGCGACGAAGCTCGATGACGCGGAGCAGAAGAAAGTCCGAAATCTATATCTGTAACTTGAAAAATGACAGAAAAAGGGGCACGTGAGGGGAGTAGCAGAGGGTTGCGTCCGTCACGGTCACGGCGGAAGAAGCGGAGAAGAAGAGAGACAGGGAGAAGTAGAGCAGTCAGTAGTAGTATACTCACCAACAGTCGACGAACGTGAAGAGGGTTGCTGGGTCTGGAACCACCATCTCTGCCATCAATCCCCCTCTTCCTTCCCCACTTCCCTTCTGCAATTCCCCCTTCTTTCACCACACTTGTTCGATTAAGAGTTCCGAGATTGGAAAGTGAGAAGAATTATAATGGGCATGGGAATGAACAACCCTCTCCAGCTCAAGTCGCTGAATCACATCTCCCTCATCTGTCGATCCGTCGAGAAATCCCTCCATTTCTACCAGTACGTTCTTGGCTTCTTCCCCATTCGTCGCCCTGGCTCATTCGACGACGCCTGGTACGCAAAACTTCTTCCCCCAATTTGAGATTTTGACGAAGGGAAAACAGAGGGTTCTGATTCGATTTTGGGTCTCTGTTCTTCCTGCAGGCTGTTTGGTTACGGAATCGGAATCCATTTGCTTCAGTCCGAAGACCCAGAAAGCATGCCCAAGATCAGCGAAATAAATCCTAAAGACAACCACATCTCCTTCCAAGTTCGTCTTCGTACCACCATTCCCCCAAATTACCCAATTCCGAGAAATTGTAAAAAACAGAGGCTAATTGATTTGGGTTTTTTTTCTACATTTCTGCAGTGCGAGAGCATGGCGATGGTGGAGAAGAAACTGAAGGGAGGAGAGGAGGGTGCTGTGGATGGCGACTCACTTTATTAAATTTTTTTTTTTATTATTATTTTATTTAAAATATAAAATGATATGTTGACCGCAACGTCAGAAGCCAACTCAGATTTTATGATGTTGAGTCAGCAATATTAACAGAAAAGTTGACGATGAGTTAACATTTGGATAATAACTAGAATTTCTATAGGTTTGTGTAAAATAAAAGAATTTTGGAAATGTTTGGGTAAAAAATAACATTGCCCAAAGATTTTTATGTAAACTAAGATATTTTGAGTTCATTTCATATATGCAAATAAAAAAAATCCCAACCCTTTTAAATTCGTTGCAATCCCAACATTTAACACAAACATACATAGAGAAATAGAATAGTAGAATGTGAAGGGCGCACACGAGCCATGAATACCTCGTAGATTGCAAAAAAAATTAAAATCAAAGTTAAAACGAAGAAGATATGAGTCGATTAAGAAAACTAGGAAAAATACAAATGGTCTTTAATTCTCCATCCTTTGATCTGGATTTTCTAGATAAAGGGTCCATATTTAGTTATTGATGAATTATGCACCCTATTTTGAGCCGTATAACAAACTCATGCGTAATTGGGCCCATTGTTGATCTATAGCGTCAGTAGTCAAATTTGCTTAGAACCTAGAAACCCTAACTTTTCAACGTGTTTAGATTGGTGTTTAGATTGATGAGATCCACCATCTCATTAGCCTAATCTTTCTCAAATCATGTGTTGCTATGAGCAGCGGCGGATGCAGACATAGTAGAGTATTGAGTTGCATTTCAATAAAAAAAATTAGATACTTTAAACAAAAGTATATAATAATTATAATTTTCATTACAATGTCAATTATACACGAGCCATGAATACCTCGTAGATTGCATACAGATGGAACGAGTTCGTTGTGCTCTACAAAATGAGACCCTTTTCAATATTTTTTGAGAAAAATTTCTTTTTTTCCTCTCGGTACCAACTGCATACCACATGGTATCTTCTTCATTTTTTTAATTCGTTTTTGAAAACGTTTGCACAGAAGGAACAAGTTCATCATGATCTATTGGATGTACAAATTTCTGGGTGAACAAATTACAGGACCAAAAAATACCCCACAATACCACCCTGGTAATGGGGTGGTATCTTGTGGTACACAATGTTAAAAATTGTAAATGACAGTTAATATACTTCTACTATCATGTATTCAACCATCCTACAGTCTTGGTTTGTTCATACCACCATGGTACGCTTTTCAAACCATAGGTATGCTCTAATTTCAATACCAGTAAATACCATATGGTATAAACTGGTAAAAATGACTCAATTTTTTTGTTCGAAAAATATATCAAAGTGGATATAATTTTGAAGAGCACAATTAATATGATCTAACTGTGTAAAAAAAAATTTCGACTTAAAACGAGTGAGAAATCGTCTGTCAACGATTAAGGAGGGGAAAATTAAAGGCTTTACAGGAGAGAGAAGGATGATGATGTCATGCTGATGTGGACGAGTTATTCATGGTTACTCACCATAAGGTTACTGACCTGATCCTTTCCCTTGTTATACAAAAGGTTTGTGAAGTGATATTGAGGTTGATAATGAATTGGTTGTGTTACGTGTTAGGTAGGGATGATAATTTTTCCCTAATAAATTTTATTCGATCTTTTTGACATATTTTGGGGCAAGTAATACATAGACAGATGCACATGAGTATAGGTGTCAATCGGGCTGGGTTCAATCGGGTTTGGGTTCAAACGGGTTGTGGGTTAGTCGGGTTGTGAGTTCACCGGGTTTGGGTTCGGGTTCAAACGGGTTGCGGGTTCAACGGGTTCGGGTTCAATCGGGTTGCGGGCAAACTGGGTTTTCGATCGGGCGGGTTGCGGGCTGATCAAGTTTCAGGTTGTTCGCGCCAGCACATCGAGTAACTTACTCATTACTCGTTACCAACTTACACATTTTATTACACTAATTTAAAATATTTTTCTCAACTTATAAACCAATTTATTTATACCTCGTATATATATACTTAATTTTTTTTGAAAAAAACTAGTCAAAATGTTAAATCAATTTGTATGACTTGCAAACTTGTTATGTAATTAATCATAATTGGTAAAGTACACTAGCTAATAGTAATGCTGATATAAATATTTGCAACCAAAAGACACCATTAATTGTTTATTTTATATTTTAGTATTATTTCAATAATAATTGGATTAAAGTATCTCATTTAGTATAACCATGCAAATCTGGTATTTGGCGTGTGGTATTTGGCAAAAAGAGAGTGATAAAAGGAGTTATTTCGAAATAACTCATTGGCCAAATAACTTCACTAAACTGTTGCCAAACGAGTTATTTGTAAAATTATTTGAATTATCCTAAAAATTGAACCATTAAAGTTAACTATGAAATTTAGTAAAATTATTGTGACTTCAATCATAACTTACTTAATATCATATATCCTATACACTTAGCCTTACCCTCAATCGACAATATTAAGTTAGTATATGTTGTTGATTGTATACCCTAAACAATCAATACATTATATACTAACCACATACCTTATACTCTATACCCTAACCATATGTCTTTATGAGTTGTGATTTTGCTAGTATAGTTAATTTAAAAGTGAAAATCATACTTCGATTTTCAAAACATAGATAAAAAGTGATATATGCTAATTGCTATACCCTAATCATCTATCCTATACTCTACACCACATATCTTGTACCCGAACCACGTATCATAAACATAAATTAAAAGGGATCTCCTGCCGTTAAAGACTTCAAGTGAACATATGTTAATAAGAAATTTAGAACCGTCAAAATCATCAATATCTTATATCCTAACCATATACACCCTAAACCATCTGTACTTTATACCCTAATCATATACTTTATACCCTAAACAACGAACCGTCAAAGATTACTTATCAAGTTTAGTATAATTGTTGTAACTAATGGTGAATTTATTTATTAGTCCATAAACAATTACTTACATACATGCATACATACATACACACACATACACACACACATATATATATATATATATATATATATGGGGAGTTCTGCGGTACCCGGGGTAAAATCCGGGGTACCGCATACCTTGAGTAAGAAAACGCTATCCAGAACTTGAATTGACTGATGTTTCGGACATGATACTATACTCTAACCCTTAAAGATCAAAATCTAGGTCTTAATTCTCTAAATCTTCTACCCCAAGATCAATTTAATTAGAAACAATAATTGACGGTTATGATTCGTCCAAATATAGAGGGAAAAATCAATGCACCATCTTAGGGTTTATAGTTTACGATTTAGATAATTAGGACCTAGGGTTCACTCATTAAGGGTTAAGGTATAGTATCATGCCCAAAAATCCTGCTAATTCGAGATCTAAATAGCGTTTTCATAGTCAAGGTATGCGGTACCCCGGATTTCACCCAGGGTACTGTAGAATTCCCTATATATATATAGGGAATTCTACAGTACCCTGGGTGAAATCCGGGGTACCGCATACCTTGAGTAAGAAAACGCTATCCATAACTTGAATTGACTGATCTTTCAGAAATGATACTATACTCTAACCCTTAAAGATCAAAATCTAGGTCTTAATTCTCTAAATCTTATACACCAAGATCAATTTAATTAGAAACAATAATCGACGGCTATGATTCGTCCAAATATAGGCAAAAAATCAATGCACCATCTTAGGGGTTATAGTTTACGATTTAGATAATTATGATTTAGGGTTCACTCATTAAGGGTTAGGGTATAGTATCATGCTCAAAATCCTATTAATTCGAGGTCTAGACAGCGTTTTCATACTCAAGGTATGCGGTACCCCGGATTTCACCCGGGGTACCGTAGAAGGCACCATATATGTATATATATTAGCCTTCAAAGCATATAAGAATAAATTTAACTAGTCATGCCCTCCATATAAAATTAAAGATTCATATTTCAAAGGTTAAATTTGTTTCCTTCTTTCTTTTCACAAAAAAAAATCTCTTCTTCTTTCTCCTTCCATAAATTAGAAAAACTCAATTTTCCCTCCACTTTCTCTTCCATAAAATTGAAAGAACCAAATTTTTCTCTTCCTTCCTTCCACAAAAAGTTGAAAACTCAAAATTTGTCTCCTTATTTCTTTTTCATAATCAAAAGAACCAAACTTTCCCACTTCTTTCTCTTCACACAAATCAAAACCGCCAAAATTTCCACTTGTTTCTTTTCTAAAAAATTCAAAGAACCAAATTTTCCTCTTTTTTCTCTTCCCAATTCATAAAAAAAAAGTTGAAAACACCAAAATTTCCCTCTTCTTTTAAAAACATCAAATTACCAAATACATTACTTTACTTTATTTATATTTAATTGATAATTTTATTGAATAGTTAAATCACCCAAACTTTTAATTTATATATTATATTAATATTGTCCATGATCTCAATTATTAATTCTTCATTATTAATATTGAAATTATGTTGATTTTATATTTACTTTTTTAATTTTGTTAAAGAAATTAGTGTTCAAGTGACCTTCATGTTTAAATTTTTGTAATTTTCTTAAAATACATAATATCAAGTGAGTTTCATGTTTTTTAAAGTCCCTATACGAAATGAAAAAATAATTTTACTTAAGTTTAGAATGAAAAACTTTATTTTGAAAAACTATATAATGTATATTATAATAATTATTCAAGTGGATTAGGTGAAGTTCGGGTTGAGTCGGTCGGGTTACGGGTTAGTCGGTTGCGGGTCAATCGGGTTCGAGTTAATCGGGTTGCGGGTCAGTCAGGTTGCGGGTCAATCGGGTTCGGGTTAGTTGGGATGCGTATCAATCGGGTTGCTGGTATGGGTTGTTGACTTTTAGTCAATTTGGGTTGCGGGTCGGGTTGATCGAGCGGTTTAATCGGGTCGGGCTATGTTTTGACACCTATAATCTGCTCTGGTCCGTTCTTTTTTCGATACGTTTAAGCCTATATTACATATAATTTTACTCAAATTACTTATAACTTTACTACCATTTTCACATGTTTT